AATATAAGGAAAATCCTTTGTACTTATCCTCGGAAGAGAAAAGATATAAGAGATCTTCGAGTCTATCTTTTTGTCGAGGGTCGAGGGTCGAGGGTTCCATGTCGAGGGCGAGGGTGCCATTTTTTTTCCCGCCCCACCCATTTTTTAAGGGAAAAGCCCTGGGGACGAGGTTGGCCAGCAGTGAGCACTTCTTATATTTTCCGCTTGCAGCAATCCATAAGGAAATCCTTTTCTTTAAAATAAAACAGAAAATATTTTAAAAAGGGGTTTTAATTTAGAGCGCACCAAGTTCTTTGAAGCTGGTTTAAGTGAAACCATATCGAGATCTAACCAATCACAGTCGCGTTTGATGCCACATGAAGCCACATTTTCGCTTCACTTCATCACGCACGTGTTCGTACGGATCAGAAAGCAAAGGTCACAAAAAGAACAAAACTTCAAGAAGCTAGAAGAGCCAACTGAAGAAAACTTGTAATTGTGTGACATGCTGCTGGTAGGTATATTTTACCTCGTTTGGTTTTTAGGGCATACAAAAAACAAACACCCCTTAGTTGAAATTAGCTGGTGGCCCCCACAGACTAGGTAATATCATTTAGTTGTTGACAACGGTTTGTTTTTTACAACTAAATGTTATCGACAACTAAAAACACGCAGTGTGTGAGACGAGTTGTCAACAACTAAACGCTAAATTTAACTGTTGTCGAGAGAGGATTATTGGAGAATAGGGAAAAATTGACAGTTGCTCAAGTGAAGGGGTGTCTCTCCCTGTGGATGAATGAAAATGTAAGAAGTACTGGAAAGGCGAGAGCTTCAGAAATATTAATTGATGGTTTGTCTCCAATTTCAGGGCGGAAAAACGTAATGAGCATGCGTGAACTTTTTTGCCCAGATCCCCTGGCCGGGTTTGAAAAAATAGCGGGATTTCAAATATTTTCTTGCCTCAAAATAAAATGTTTCCACTCATAACCTGGAAAGAACAGGAAATTTGTCTTCAAAAGTTGCAAGCTGTGGTTATAACCTCGTCGTTACTTAATTTTCTCGAAGAATACCTCATAGTAAAACGGACTTTAACGACATTAATTTCCTTGCGTTGTACTGGAAATGTGCATGCGTAGGTCCGATTTTTTTCAAGATGCATTCACAAAATGTGTTCATATAAGGAAGTTTCTGGATATATAAGGTCCGGAGCTCCACTGTGAACACAAAAACAGCATATCTTTGGACAGTGATTTGCCCAAAAAAATTAACGCTTGCCCACAATGTGTTTGAAGGCACTGGGTGACTTTGTCGCACTCGAGCGGATATTTTAAAACCCTCGCTCGATCGGACACTGGTAGTTCGCAGATCACTAAAATATAAACAAAATTCTCAATGTAGAAGTTATTGCGTTGATATGTGAGCAGAAAGAAAGTCAATCTTTATCTAGTAAAATCTTCCCAAAAATCGGTTTCAAAGCAACTATAGTTTTTTAAACTTGCTCGTTTCGCGCAGATATATAAATTTTGCTTTGTGTTGTCAAGTTGAACACGCAGAACATCTGTCAAAAACCTACAAGTAAGAAGGATTTTTCCTTCAAACAAAGTTAAAGTTACATTATTTCAAAAACTCAGTTGCTGATAATCAAGAAATGAATTTTCTGTGCGAAAACAACCTACCTAAAGATCTTAAAAGTAAAAGATCAGTTGCTACTTGGCAGCCAAGCCATGATTCCCCATGTAGCTATTTTCAATAAGCTTGACTGGTCCATGTGAGGGTCTTCGTTTAAGCAAATTAAACTCAGCCGATCATTAGAAAATAAAAAAAATAGCACATACGGGTTTGTTTTGCTCGCCTCAGTCAAATCAAGCTGCAGCAATTGTTTACGGGAAAAGAGTCAATTGTTTTAAAGTCATTGCCGGCAGTTGTCGTTCTCTACTTCACAGCGAGTGAAAAGGACAATTTGCGTACAGAAAGTTATTCTTATAAAGAACAGAAACTTTCACAGTGCACTGGAAAACAAAACTATGTAATGAAAAATGAAAACTCTGACTATTATTATTTTAGCAACAGAAAAATGATCTTGAGTGAGCTTGCTGGCCTTCTATTTTCGAGAAAGTTTAATTTTTAGGCGCACAAGTTTGTTCACTCTGGTGCGTTATAACAGCAATATGGTTCTTTGACTGAAGACCAAGACAAATCTGGTTCTGCAAAGGTAATAAATCTGGGCATGTAAAAAAAGTAGCCGTACTTACTAATAACAGAATACAAGCGGGTTTTAATTGAACCCGGCGAAATCAACTCACAAATTAATCGAAATCAGAAAAATACTCGCCTCTTAAGAAATGTTCAAAACCTTTTATTCCACCTCAGACTGACGGAATGATCCGTTTTTCCTTTAACGTTTGTTGTTCTGAATCCAAAGTAATTTTCAAGCGACGAAAAAAAAGCAAACATGTCAAATAAAATGCTTTACAGGGAGCAAACGTTCGCACCTCGTGCATTTCACTCAGAACTCCAGCAACAAACAAACCCAGTCAACACACAGAAAAAGCCCGCCTTGAGCCTGCGATAAGGGATGCGCAGAAGCTTGCGCAGAACGTTTTTCCGCCCTGAAGTCTCCAATGGCCCTTGTGTCTGACGAAAAAATGGAAGGCCTTTTCGTAAGTCAACAAAATTCAAGTGTGATTTTGAAAGTGGCGGTCAAATCTAACGGTCTAGCCCTCTAAGCACAAACAGAGGATTTTTTAGTCATATCCTGACGCATGAATAAAGTGACTTGCCGAACAGATATTTAGCTTCAAACGTGACCTCCCATACAAAATAGTGACTAAAGTAGCCGATTTTCAAAGCGAAAAAGCCAGAGCTTCTACAAGGTCTACAACGTCACCAGTGGTCTTGTATTTTTTATTAACGTCTCTTCTACAAAATCCATAAGCTGACACTAATAATTTTTATATAGTTAAGGCAAAAAAGTGTAAAACATGAGCCACTCTGAACAGTTTTGGCCGTTTTTTCTTTGTTTTGGCCTCGGTTCGCTGATCATCGTTTCAAATTTGGCACTCGGAGAGCAATAAAAGTTCCCGGATATGTCGCCTAATTCTGGGCGATGCCGACAAGTTTATAATCAACAACCGAGATTTCGAAACCTCTTCGATTTGTTTTCTTAGCGCTGTTTACAAGAAGGTTATGTGGCTCGATAAATTGCGTTACAAAAGAAGTCTAACGGGAGAACCCAAAAGGAAAAGTTGTTGAGAACACTTAAGACCTCATCGGCTTTCATCCATACGCCATTAACGTTCCTCATTCTAAAAGCTAACTAGCTCAGTCATTGATCATTTTTTGTTTACCTTATTTTATACGTACTAAATATCAGAAATATCCATAAGATCATGGAAGGTCTTGCGATTAAACTTCTCAGCCACACTTACTATATTCCGTAGATTTTTATTTGTTTAGTGACTGCCGGAAGACTGAATGAATTCAGTTAAGTCCAGCTGCCACTTAGTATAGAAGTTAATGTTGACTCTTCCTTGAGGACACCTCAGATACTCGGCAAAATATACTGAATGCCTCAAAATCTTACACAACACTCAGCCGTTACTCAGTATATCTGGGGTTTCTTCCTCAGCACTGATATTACTCCCAGTATCTACCGTAGGTGCTGTCATTGGCAGTTGACCTTGTTTTCATTGCCAACTCTTCGATTTTCGACATTTTCCTGCTTGAATCGATTTCATTCCTAGAGAAACTAGAACCCTCAGAAGTTTTCTCCTTTACGGAAAGGGCGTCTGGAAAAGCAGGAATCAGTAATAGGAACGGAAATGGGAACAGGAACCGGAAAGGGAACAGGAACAGTAATGTAAAGGGGAACCGATACCAGAACAGGGACATCATTTACCTTAATTTATTTTAATACTCAGAATTCATTTTATATGAAAAATAAGAGAACTAGCCTGGTATCATGTTCCCCTGAATTTTTATATATTACGGCAACCAGAAGGTCAAAAGAGCAGCAACTTTAATAAGTAAAGCAACAGCTTTTCGAGTGGCACAACTACAACGTGCAATGATCAAATCTTATAAAGTTCTCTTGAGAACGTGAACGGCAAGGCGATAAATTTTATTGTGTCTATCTGCGCTCGGACGCGGTCTCCAGCTTCATTTCCCAACATTTAAAAGACTGGACAATTTGGATGAGCAATAGTTTGAATTAGGACCCGAATTCAATTTCTCAGTGGCGTTTTCACTGGCGTTGCCGTTGTCAGATCTTAAGGTTCCTTTTGTCTCTCGCAGGAAGGAGGTTATTACACATTAATATTATTTGTCAGACCATGTGTAAACGAGACACCCATCAGAGACGTTTATTGGCCGCATACACTTCACGTTTGCTACATAGATATATTTCACTACCTCCGGGCTTTATTCGGCCGATTGCAATAAGGACCTTAAGCAACGAGAACGTTGACGTCCAGGACGTTAAAAATGGAAACCGGGAGTGGATATTTTCTGTCTTTCAGTGCTCTGACTCACCAAATTCTACAGTGGAAGGTAAAAGGATTCGTTGTGTGAAACAGAGGCGTTCCATCAAGAGCAACAGTGAACTTCCGGTTGCTATTCATAAAGTCCGCGACGTTCAGCGTTCTGGTTACTTAAGTTCGCAATTATGTTTGACACGAAAACGCAATGTGTCACTGGGTAAAGATAAAGAAAGGTTATATTGATTAGATTCACATTTCAAGAGTGTTTTCTTGTTTCTTTTTTCTCTGGCTTTTCAATGATTATTTCTTTTTCTTCTCATATTTCTATACACTGTTTCAATTCCCTTTTTCCCCTTATTTTCCCTATATATCTGAATAAGAATTAATCCAAATTAACTTAAATTATGATAAATGTTGTCCCTGTTTTTATATAGGTTCCTCTTTCCATTACGGTTCCTATTACGGTTCCGCTTCCTGTTCTTAGTGTTCCTATTCCGGTACCTTTTCCGGATTCCGGTTTCCGGCGTTTCCAGAAGCCCTTACCGAAAGCACCTTAAAGCCCAAGACTCGCAGGAAAGCTCTTCTGTATGCCTTTATTCGCCACGCATAGATCAGTGGATTTATTCCGCTACTAAAGTAAACCAAGGAGAGAGTAATGTCGCGGGCGAGGCTAAATGCGAAGGTTCTGCAGTTTGAACATTGAACGAAAGCAAAATCACAAATGAGAAAAGGGATCCATAAGACCCAGAAAACCACAAGGACAATCAAGACTGTTCGTGTCGCTTTTTTCTCAATACGAATTGTGTTTCTCAAAAGTTGACTTTTCTTCTCTTTCCCGATGAGTTTGATCATGGCTGTGCGTTTGCGTATTGCACGGTAGACCATCAAATATGAAGCCGTGAAGACAACAGTGGGTACGACACATCCTAAACCATATAAATATAACTGAAATGTTTTGTCTCTCCATCCCGCAACAGGAAGAAGAGCAAAGTGAATTGCAATGCCCCAAATAACGGCTATGCTGATTTTTACGTTCCTCTTATTAATGATGTTTTGACTCACAAATGGCTTTTGGACGGCAAAATAGCGGACGATCGAGAGGGCCATTATGTTCAACAGAGAACAAGACGCGGAAATGATAGCAAATAAGTAATGAACGAAGAAAATTGCATTGTTGCTGTTCCAGTATGTGGCTATCAGCAGAGGCTCCGAAAGGGCGCCCATGATGAGATCCGCAAGTCCTAAATTAAATATGTAGTAGTTTTGAACGGCTTGAAGCTCGCGAAAAGGATCCCTCCAATAGGCAACGCACAAAAGGAGGTTCACGAAAATCGTGAATAGAGACACAACTGAGTATACAGCTGTAATACTCGGAAGACGTGTTTGGAACCAGTATTTATCATAGAACATCGTATGTGGTGCTGACATTATGTGGTGAAGCGTTTATGGGTTTTGTTGCCTCCAGAGTTTTTCTCCTTGTTTTCAGAACCAGTAGATAGATCTAGTAGACGTTTTCAAGTAGCACACTGTGTCTAGTCAAACCGTATTTAGCTGTTCCGCTATCAACCTCTTCCCTAGGGCTTTTCCCCACCCATTTTTTGAGGGAAAAGCCCTGAGGACGAGGTTGTTCCGTTATAGTTTTAGAACATGACTCACTGTCTGCGTAAGGTCAAGCCATCTTACTTTCAAAGCGACCGCAATAAATGTCATTCAGAATACTAGCCTCAGGGGTGGGAATGAAAATCATCATGCAAATACCAATTAAAATTGATGACTCAAGGGTTGATGTCCCTTCTCAGTGGATGATCGCAACCTGGTTCCCAGGTTCTCGCTCGGCGTGATGATCGATCTCCATAGAACCGAGAGATCACTCTACAATAACTAATTCCAGGAGCCTATCAAATGGAGCCTCCATCTCCCATACAAGCCCTTGGAGTCAACCCTTTCCCGAGTAGATTTATAATTAGAACGGTTCCCAGGGGAGACTTCGCGCGCCGACGGTGGGAAGAGCCAATCACAACGACTAAATGACACTGCTATTGTACTTCATGAAACAGCAGGAAATCCGGTGCTGACAAGCCAAACAAAATCATAAGCTAGTGAAACGTGACTTTAGCGTTTTCATACCCCAGAGATTTTCTTTCTTTTCTTTCTAGCGGGTAGATTATACTGTGGAGAGTTTTAAACTCAGACTATGTTAATCTTAATTTTGGTTGCTTGTCTCACATTAAGCTGGTCTGTTACATGCGTAAGGATTAACTACTACCTGCAGTCTGTAGTTCTGACAGGATTCGTTTTCTTTAGCCAATTTTTTTGAGCGTTAAGGTTCTTATTTCGGCTAAATGACTCAATATTAATCAAATTTCTAGTTTTTCAAGTTTTTATCCGAAATGCGTTTGTCTGAATAAATACTGTGGTTGTTTTGTCCGTCAGTTAGTGTGATGATTCCCTGCTATGTTTTGTAACGCCGAGCCCAGCCATTGTTTTCTCGCAAAAAAGTGATCTACAGATGCCAATTCGAAGGAAAGAATTGGCCTAAACTTCTACATTAATTGCTGAGAATTCTCCTGTTGGTCAGTCATAATTCTTTGGGCGCAGATACAATCCATTTTGTTTTTCTTGAGATAAGAGTGTCTTTGGACTGGAGCGCGATGTCACAAATTCCACCGTTAGCAAATTACTTTTGAGTTAGCTTCACGGTCGAGCAACTGTTGTCTTCTGTTCAACTTTTCAAGTGCCAGTTTTATCAGGCAACTCTCATGGTGATACAAGTCAGTTGTAAAGGACGACTGCAATTTTTCTGAAGCATTCCGCCTTAGTTGCTACTTAGGTCATCGCTTTTGCACACGGTGCTTAACTGGCGAAATCCACTCCACGGCGATGACAAAAATAAATGATCCTGGCACTTTTTCGGCGCTGATCATCGAAAAGTTTCAAATCGTCCACAGAACGCTTAATCGTCGACTCTTTTCAAGGTGCATGCTTAAATGTGGGATGTATGACGGCAAAAAAAAAAAACAACAACAAAAACAAACACTCGCAAAGAACCTTTCCGTGATCCTCAGTTCGCTGCCTTTGTCCCATCGCTTCATGCTCAGTCTCAGTCGGGTAATTCATTAACTTTTATTTCATCCCAGATCCCAGCGGCTGTAAAACTGTAAAAATGGACGTATAGTAAAAAAGGAAAACGGTCGAAGGACGGGCTTCTGAGTTCGACTTCATCCAACTTCATTTTTTTCACGGTGACATACGAGACTCACGGAAATATCACACTTTTCGCGGGAAACAAGCCGTTCTATTGATAAATCTACTCGGTAAAGGGTTGACTCAAGAAATTAATGGAGATGGAGGCTCCATTTGATGGGCTCCTGCTAATTCATTTCAGTTCAGTCAATAACTAAAACTTACTGCAATTTACCAGATGATGGAAAAGGTTTCGTTATGTCGGCCATTATTGTCTTTTCCTCACGGAACTTTTATATTGTTATCATCAATGATAGCCTGCGAAAACATCCGTTTCTCCTCGCTCTTCGTCGCGTCCCCAGCGGCGAAGAGGGAGGAGAAACGGATGTTTTCGCAGGCTACATCAATGACAGCCTTGGCTATGACGACAATTTTTAGCCTTCAGAAATTGATACTTTCAAGCATTGTTAACTGTTTAACCAACAACATCGTGTTATATTACCAGAAACCAGAAACCCATAAGGGGTTGAAACGTGTAACTCGCTTTCAATGCTTGTGAATATTCATTTTGACCATATTTGGAAATCTTAGTGACGGATATCCATTTTCAACAAAATGGCTGCTGAGCGATCACCATGCAGATGTTTTAAGACAAGAGTTCTGCATTTCAAGGTTAAAAATACACCGTTAAAAGACAAAAAATGGAAAGAGAAAGTTCAAAAGAATGCTCAGCTTTCTTTTTGTGGAGAAGGGAAGCTTTTCATCAAGAAATCGTCCTTCGAGGAATTCAACCTTGTTTTCTTCACGGCGGAGCCCATGGTCTGTTTTGAAATGCAACCAAGTTAGCGAAGAAACTCATAAGGGGTTGTTCACCCCTTATGGGTTTCTGATATTACTCAAATCAGTTACTGTAAAATGATTTTCAAATCATTTTGTTTTTCATTTGTTTTTGCATGTCAAAAGACAAACTCGGTTTCAAGTTTAAAATATTTCAGTCGGAGTGCAAATTGTGTTTGCTATTCTAAAACCCAAACCATACTTTTTGTTCTGTGTTTACGAAAAGAAGCTATTAATCAGCTTAGCACTAGCCTGCGTAATAAGCGTTTCCATTTTGGGTTCCGAGCAAAGAACAACCAAGGAACGGGATTTTAGGTTTTTGGCCGAGCAATGAAACGTGAGCCAAAAAGAGAGCCACCCCCTCCCCGCTTACTCGCGCCATTTTTCGCGCGTTTTTTGACTCTCGCTTCTCGTTCTTTGCTCCGAAACAGCACGGAAACGCTTGCTACGCAGGCTAGCTTAACAGAAGCCTCAAGCCAACCGTTAAGTCATGCTTATTTTTTAAATATGTTTTCATACCTAGGGAAGCACTCACGTCTTCTCATTGTCTGGTCATATGACTGAAAATCGTTCTCAGTTTTCGTAATCAGAATTACATCAATTCTGAAAAAATCTACTGTTTCCGCCCAGGGGTACGATATTGTTGCACGCGGAAAAAGGAAGTCTGCGTAACGCCGGCGCTAATCGTGTTCCAGCATCCCGCTGGCAAGGTATTCTATTTCGCACAAATTATGAAAAAATATGCGGTTAGAAATAAGAGTTGCCTGGCCTGCAAGCAGCAGACCACCGGAAATGCGTCTGCTGTTCGCAGGCTAAGAGCTGACAGGCCAAACACAACTCATAAGCTCGTGATAATGCGAAACGTGACCTTGAGAGTCTGCTTGAACAGAGGTTTTTCTTCTTTTCTCTCCCTCGCGAAGGTTACTAGCATTACACAGTGCATGTAGCATTCTAAACTTTGACTGAGTAAATCTTGTATTTGCCGCACTAAGTCTTACATTTAGAGGTCATGAAGCAGGTTTGTTACATGCTAGCCTGTTCCAGGCTCCGAGATGGTGGTGGAAAGTCGTTCAGTAATAAGAAATACGAAATACGCGCGGGGCCTGGGGAGAGACAAGTCGTGCGCGTCTTATTTTCGCTTTGCTCGTTTTAATACATTCCCACTATACTATCTGAGAGCCTGGCACAGGCTAGTTACATGCATACTGAGTAATCATCATTTTGTTTTCAGATGCAGTTGTAAAAGTGTTTTAATTTTCTTTTCTTTGACTTCTGTTTGTTACGACTAAATAAAGATTTTAGTTTCTTTGGCTGGCTTTCTCTGAAATGTCTGGATCGGAATAACTACATGCATGCAAGCAAGTTTCTCTGTCCGTGAATGTGATTATTTCGTGCTATGTCAGTATGACTCTTGGCCCAGTTCTTAACTGTGGTTTGCGGGATGTTGAATTTTCACAGGTAGTGCGTCACATTTGAGTTATACACTGTAGCTTAATGCCGGTTTTTCATTGTTTTGGCGTTGAAGAATGAATCGAGCTACGAAATATTTACACTTTGCTAGAGCGTTTAAAAATGATACTTCACAAGCTCGTCACTAAAGGGCTTTCTTGTGAATTCAGTGCAAGAGATTACAGTCATAGACTGGCCTTCATGACCGGCACCCCACAAAAGCAACCAGCTCCCATAGATGGCCGTCTTTCCCTAGTCAAAACCGTTCGAAATTCGTTGTTTGTAATCTCGTGTAGGCGACCATTTGACCCGTGGTCTCATCTCTGAGTATGTACTACGCTACCAGGAGCCGATAATTTAATTGACTCGTGATGCGACCAATCCACACTACCATGAAAGTTGTTTCGTACAACCAAGTCACTACTATGTGAGCCGTCTGATGTCTCATTTCTAGTTGCCAGATAGCACACCACCAAATGATCTAGCTAATAATTGTGGCAGCCATTTTGTACAGAAGACTGTTCACATTATAATTAATGAGTAACTGGACGCCCCCTTTTCATCTCGGCCACTTGTTGACAAGGGGATGACGATGCGTCCGAAGATAACTTGGGCGCATGCGTAGACTTTGCTGATGTGTGCGCTGATCCTGACTAGCGCCTAGCGCGCGTGTAGAGAGTTCGCCAGCTTCAAGACCTAGACATAACACAACAAGACCATATTCAGCACAGAAGCACACACTATCAACTCCGCGGTATGGCCAGTACGCCTTACGCATGTGCACAGCCATATCACCCGGGCAGTGGCAGGTACGTAGGGACAGCTGATTTGTACTCACTGGGACGCCATCAGAATGGCGCTGAGCCTCTTGCGAGAGGTCTCATTAGCCATCACAGCCTTCTCCTCTGTTAACTGCATGGGGGAGCAAAAGCACACCTTTAAGCGCCACAAATGTGGTA